TAACATTTTTTTATCCTTTGATCCAATTTCAAAAGCAACTATTACAACAAATCAAGAGCCACGGGGAATAACTGATATTAATAATAAAGCTAGTGTGTATAGATGAACTAACAAAGCTACAGGAAAAACTTACATAAGCTCATCTCAAAATTTATCTGAAAATTTTTGAAGAACCCGCGCCAAATTAAAAATTTATTTTTTTTATTTTTAATAAAAAAAAATCCGCGCGGGATCAAACAGATATTTTTTTTTATCTATTTAAGTGCTATTATAAATATAAAAGTAAAATATACAGATCTTTACTTATAATGGTTATTATAATTTTTCATTAGATCCCTCGCGCGGAATCAAACAAAAATTAAAAATATTGTGGAAAAAAGTAAAAAGAATAACATTATTTGAATTTACTTAAACCAAAATATAATATTAAAACATAGCAAAACTACAAAAAAAAAAGGGTAGGGAAAGGAGAGGTAGTAGATAAAGAAATTAGCTCAATTGGTAGAGCAACCACTTTACACGTGGTGGGTTAGGTGTTCGAATCACCTATTTCTTATTTATGTGGATTAATGTAATAGTAACATACTTGACTCATGATCAGGTTATTTAGGTGCAACTCCTAAGTCCACTTAGGAAAATGGTTTAATCTGGAATATAGATTAATATAGTTTATTTCCATATTTGCTCTAAATATCTTTCTTAATTAAGAAAAAATACTATTCTCAAAAGAGAATTGAGAATTTAAAAATTTCTCTATTTCTATATATACTTTATTGTTTATTTATGTGATAAATTATAAATTTTTTGTAGTTTTAATTTTTACCTTTTTCTATATGGTAGAAAAAGTCAGCAATTATCTATCTATATTAATATTTTTGAAAAAATATTATATATTTTAAAATGAATTTAATAAATATAAATTCAAGTCCTTTAGATCAATTTGAAATTTTTAATTTAGTTAGTATTAACTTAAATTTATTAAACAGTAACTTAGCTTTAACTAATACAGATTTATACCTTATTATTAGTATATTTTAAATTTTTATTATTAGTAGTTTTTTTATTATTTAAATAAATTAATACCAAAAACCTGATAAAAAGAAGCAAGAAACTCTTTATGCAACAAGGGTATTTAAAACTAGTTAAAGCAAATAAATTAAAAGGCAAAGATACTTCCCCCTCTAGGTATTATTTTTTTTGAAAGGGAAGTATCTTTCAAAAAGATGTTTAACAGCACCTAAAAAGGTAGTTAAACTATTAATCAAATTATAAATCTATAATATTTTTTTTATAGTATTTATTATTAAATAGGGAATAAGTTATTATTTAGTTAATAAAGGGATAAAGGTAGAAGTATTATACATTTAGTTTTACATAAATTTGTAAGTCTAAGGAGGTAACCATAATTATACGTTTAAATATAAATAATTAAATATTAAGTTAATAACTTTAACTTGGTAATAATTAAAATAGACTATAGTTTTATGTAACTTTAGTTATTAAATCTATATAACTTTATTTATTACCTAGGTATAACTAGTTTACACCCCCCCTTAGAAATAAATGTAAATAATAAACTTTAAGGTTATAGCTTAATGGTAAAGCCAGCTACTCATGATAGCTCTTATAAATGTTCGAATCATTTTAACCTTATAATTTTAATCCAAGTGCTGGAATTGGGAAAGAGTATAAATGACCCCTCCTTTTTTTTCTCATTCTGTGCTTATAAGGATATTTACAAAAATAAACTTACATTTACAGGTAGGTATCTTTAATGTTTTAAGATATATATATATATATATTAGAGATAACTATTGTTTAACCTAATTGTTGCAATTGGTAGAGAAAATTCTTAACAGGTAAACAGTTATTAATTTTTATAAAATTAAAAAAAGGTATAAATTAATTAATTAATTTTTAAATTTGCAATGAAAATATAATTTTTAATATTTCAAAAAAGCTAACAAAATTATATTTATTAACAGTAGGTAATGCCTATTTTACCCGAGTGCTGTAATTGGTAGCCAGATCCCACTTAAGATGGGATGATGCAAGTCGTGAACGTTCAAGTCGTTCTTCGGGTAATGATTATTAATTTAAAATATTAAAAGGGGAATTAACTCTAATAATCATCATACTTTAGTTTAAGTTAAGCCAATAAGATGGTAGGTTTTCGATTCCCCCCCAGGGGATAATGACTCGTTTCATATTCTTCCAGCAATCCTTATTTGTAGGATAGAATAGCTATAGTTTGCAAAGTATTTTGTTGAAAAAAAAATGTAAACAAATATAAATAGAGAAAAAGATAATTTAAAACTTCTCACTATTAGAATAAATCTGGTCACAAGAAAAACAATCATTGAAAAATTTGCTATAAGTAGATTGCATATCTCTATATTAGAATATTTAGTCTTTAAAATTAAATAGAACTAAACCATAATGTATAACTTATTAAAGGACCCTTTTTTCTGTATTATATAGTAATATGCGAGAAAATAAAATCCCTCAAAGGGGATTTTATAGTTATAAAGCAAATATAACTTATGACGGAGGTAGTTACCTGTGATAAATTTGAATAATGGTGTATTCAATTAAGGCTTATAAAAAAAAATTCGTCAACAACACATTATTCAATTTCAAATTACATACTGTTAAAAGTATGCAAACACAATCTGTAAATCCTGTTAAAACTTATGAAA